GGAGATGCAGCTAGATTAAAGAATTTAATTTATTATAAGCTCTAGAATGGCTTTCAAACGTCAAAAGAACAGTTTAATTAAAGCATACATATTTACCATTAATTGAAAGCATATAATATACAATATAATATAATTTAATTTAATTACAATTATAATTATGCGAACAAAAAAGAAAAGAGAAGCTGGCTGGAGGGAAGGAAAGAGAGGGGGGGGAGGAGAGTCGCGCCCGCGCTAAGTACTATTTTCAGTACAACAATGGGGATGACATGCGCGAAAGGTGCGTCCACAGTTTCATACGGCGGATACACGCCAGATGAATGGAGAAACCGCAGGACAATCAAATTATCTCCTTGTCGACAATGAAATTAACGTATTGATTAATCTGATCTCTTCTTGACCAAGTTAATCATCCTTGAGCCCAGTTCATCTTAACGTTGAACTTAATTTTTCATATAATCGGTTATTTTTCTTTGTGCCATATCATGAACGTATCAGTGCGAGGGCGACATTTGATTTTATGCGAAGGGCGCACGCCCCGACGACGAACTGATTCCGACCCCGACCCCGGCGATACAGCTGAGTCCTCGCCGTGTCACGAGCGAATCTAGTCATTCGGACTTCGCTCTTCTCGAGAAGGACCTTCGTAGACTCGCGTATCCTGTACCCTGATCGTACTTCATGAACTTTATCGACAGACCGCTACCGGGATTGCCGCGTTGATAAACCGCATGCATTTTGTCTGACTCATCGATATTCTTTCGGATCTTCTGCTTCACGCGTCCTACTACGAGAAAAGCAAGGTTCGTTAAATGCCGAGGGTAAGTGGAATAATTATCCACTGCTTGCTGGATATGATTCGTGTTCCAATGTATCCGCAATTTGATATTTTTTTATCTTTGTCACTTGTTTCTGTTGCATTGTTGCATTTTCATTTTTTCAGCCGTTTTGAATTATTTAATAGATTATATTTAATAGAATAGATGAGAAAACATTCTTGAAAATATTAGACTTTAAAACTGTGCGTGAACCTTCTCTTTCGATATGTCGAAAAATTTGACTCACGAGTATTTTGTATGCACACATTTTTTCATTTGTTTTTTCTACGCACTTTTTGACGTACTTCTCGATATTTCGCAACGATAAATTAGGGAAAAGTAATGAAACTCACGATCTTTGTACGGTTTTTCGCAATCAGTAACGTTCGTCATGTGCCTTTTGCAGAATATTACAATATAATAGTCAATAAAAACAACAAACAAACCAGTGATTTTTGAACTTTAAAATTTTATACACGCGCGCGCGTGCGTGCGACACACACACACACACACACACACACACACACACACACACACACACACACAGATATATTCTCAAAAAACATGGATTACTATATTGATATAGTATATTGATATGTCATTTTTGACAAATGAATATATGAAA